GTGACAGAGAAACTCCAATACCCATCACAGACCGTGACAGAGAAACTGTAGTTTTGAAGCATCAAATAAACGGTCAGCTACAAATCTATCGTAAAGAAATGGAAGAAGACGTTGTCCATTTAATTCGTAACAATAGGTCCATCGTGTTTCACACTTTTAATCCCGCAAGGGATTGCGCTAACAGCTTTTTTTCAAGGTCACACATATTCTTTGAAAAACACATGTGCCATCGATTCGGCTCTGTTTGCTATCTACTTCATATATGTGACAGATGTGTCTATCTCCTCTGAGTTTAAAGAAGCGTCAGAATTGTCACCTTATGCAACACTAGTGGAAACTTTCAATATCGTAGAAAAAGAAGGATGGGACGCTGCACGTATTTACTGGCTACTTAAATTCGAAATTTTGAAAGCGACTGATCAAAAACCCAAAGACCTGTTCGGTTCTGTTGATGAACTCGTATTTTCTTTTCTTAAAAGTCAACAACGACACTCAAATGAAATCTTATGTTCACGGTCTGATTGTCCCAAAAAGGAACGCAAGTGCACATCAACTGAATTGGATATTTTGTAAGCATAAATTTTTCAATAAAATCTCTTTCATAATCAATGTTCTTCTAGTTCAGCTGACGAGTGCATTGACACATTTGAGATTGAAACTGAGGGTGTGTGTCCAATAATGGTGAAACGCCGAGAAGAAATGAATGAAGCTGAAGCACTTCAAAAGAAATACAAAGATGGTCGCGTGCCACTCTTCAATTGTGAAACAAACACAAATGAATACGAGTATGTTGACTCTCTTCTCTTGAAAGTGTTAATTGTTTTCTTCTATCAAGACGTGGCTGGGTATGTAATGCTAGAAATATTCAAACATCAGCTATATTTGATTATGGCCATCCTCCCATAATTATTGTAAGTATTAAATCATTTTCAAGAAGAATTGATGAAGGCTATGAACCAAATGAAGTCCGACTTCGTGATCTTAAAGACACCATCAGAATCAGTTCTATTAAGTATGTATTGAAAATACTTTTCATTTTTCATATATCTTTTAGTCAATGACATCTAGTAAGCATTTTAAAACGACTATCTTCTTATATACACTTGAACTCAAAATACATACTAATGCTCTTGATTGCTCTTTTTTGTTTTTCTAATTGTTTCTTTTCTGTGATAGATACAAGCTGCGCGCCGTTATCAATCATCGAGACGCACATTTCACCGCCACTCTAATTGGTCCCGACAAAGATTTGTACATTTACGACGATCAACAAGGTGTTCGATATACTCGCTCTTCAACAGACCGTGTTGAAATAGCTATTTACAGTCAAATTTATGAATTTTAGTCTTTTTTTTTTGTATTTCTTCCGTGATTTTGTGAAAACATTTTTTTTTTGTAAAAATAATTCAACCTATATCTGTACATATCAATAAACAAGAGATGTCAAATACAACTGTCAAGATGACACCTCACAATATATACATATATTTGTCGTTTCTCTTTTTTTCACACATAACTTCTCGCCTGATGAAGCACAATACGAAAGAAAAAAGAATGGAAGTGATAGAAGAAAAAAAATGTGTGTATTGAACGAACAGAACAGAAAAAAGAACGGAAGCGAAAGAAGAGAAACAACTATACATATTGAACGGACAGAACAGAAAAAAGAATGGAAGCGAAAGAAGAGAAACAACTATACATATTGAACGGACAGAGCAGAAAAAAAAGAGTTAATTGATGGACGTGAAAGATGAAAAGATTAACAACCAATGTTAGTATCCTCTTTGCACATTCTTTGAACTATTTGATAGTAATAACGAAATAACATAACATAGAAAGAACAATATATGTAAATTAATTATACAATTTGAACAACAAACATGTACATGTCTACCTATATATATAGGATGAAAATAAGGAACATTATCATTCATCTTTTACTGTATTCAATATGCTCTGTTCCATCGTCATTTTTCTTCTTCTCGTTCATAACTCTGCTCCAGTAAGTAACTCAGATAAGTCCAGAACGAATTAATTTATTGATGCTTGCATCTAGGAATATGATAGCCTTGTTGATTTGATCAATAAGACGTATTATCTTAAAACAAGCACCACCATCATCACCACCACTACTAATGAAATGGAACAAATCAAAAAAATTGCAGATAATATCAACTCCACCACCGAAAAAATCAAGATACTTCTTCCTCCATTAATTATTTTAATTGTCACGGTTTGCTCCATCATAGTTAGTTTTTTAAAAAAATGTTCCCAGGTCGAACGTTACGGAGTTCGTAAACGATCGTATACGACCGTATACGGAAAAAATACGGTCGTTTACGACCGTGTTTTGCCGTAATACATGTGATCGTATTACGATCGTATATCTCCGTAACCGTATACGGTCGTATACGACCATATATGGAGAAAAACGGAGATCGTATACGGCCTCCATTTACTGTCTCCGTAAACGACCGTTTTTTCGTCCGTATACGATCGTATTGTTCCGTATACGACACGGAGATATACGATCGTAATACGATCACATGTAAATCGTCGTATTTCTCCGTATACGGTCGTTTACGACCGTGCTTGTTCGACCTGGGTTACGTAAATAATGGTCATTGCAAGGTGAGAATCAAGAGATATGTAACTGTTCATTCAATTAATATACATTCTTTTTTTTTCAGGGTGCGTGGTTTTTTTGTAAATCACTTGATGAATATAAACGTCGTCGGCAAGCAGTTCGACGTAAGTTACCGATATCTTTTTTACAGTATGATAACTTTTGTTTTAATTCTAGAAAATGAAATATCTCTCAATCAGCTCATTCATCAGTCGACCCCCACCATTTATGCCATCGCCTCAGTTGTCTTTTTTTCCTTCCTTCTCTTGTAATTAATTGTACATGTTTTTTTTCTTGTCCTTATTTATTCGTATATTTTTTTATAATAAATCTTGTGAATAGTATTGTTGTCTTATTACTTAAATGGATTGAATTGAGATACTATGTAAAGCACACAAGCAACATAAACATTGCAAGAAAATGAATGTATATGCCGGTAACTGATATACGAATGAATAATTTTCTAATTGGAAAATTTAATCGTAACGATCGGCTTGATGAATATCATCGATAGTATCTCTTTACATACTTTCTATCAGCGATTTACGATGAAAAAAAAGATATATGCTTAGTTCATAAAGATAAACTTCACGCTTTT